TAATGAGTCTGTTGTTGGCGTTGGTACTCTTGCCGTTGTAATACACGTACCCAAGTCTTAAGGCCTTGGCACTTCACAGCGATGTAGTGGGGTCAGGAAAACTGGTAGATTCCTCTTGAGTGTGGATCCAGTGAAATAGACTTAGAAGGACTTTAATTTTGTTTTCTGGTTTTGCCGTAGGGAGGTGGAGGTGGGTGGAGGGATCCTTTTCCAAAGACAGATTCTACCCAGGTTTTAAATTGTGGTACTGTCAGAATGAGGGGAGACCTTTGGGTGTTTCTCCTGCTCCACAGCACAGATCTGCACCCCCTTCCTGCTGCCTTTTTTAAAAAATTTATTTATTTATTATTTTATGTGTATGCATGTATTGCCTGCATGGAGGTACGTGCACCCATGTCGTGCAATGCCCTCTGAGGTCAGAAGAGGGCTTCAGATTCCCCTGGAACTGGAGTTAAAGATGGTTCATAGCCACCATGTGGGTGCTGGGAATTGAACCCTGGTCTTCTGCAAGAACAACCAGTGTTCTTAACTGCTGATCCATCTCTCCAGCCCCAGGAACAGCCACTTCTCTTAACTGCTGATCCATCTCTCCAGTTCTTGGCTGCCTTTTATATTCCTTGAGCAGTTTGTCTGGGACCTTGGGTACTGTAACACCAAATCCTATCCAAATCACCAGGCAAGGACTAAGGGTGGAAAGAGAAAAGGAAGCCATGTCAGACACCGTGCTTGTTTAGGGACCTGCTGAAGTTTCACACACTCTCTCTCTCTGTCTCTCTGTCTCTCTCTCATATCTGGAGGAAACTGGGGATGATGTGCCCTCTACTTGACATTCATAGTTGAGACTTCAAATGCTATTTTCTTCCTTTTAACAAAATTATATATTTTTATTTGGTGTATATGAGTGTTTTGCCTGCATGTATGTAAGTGTACCATGTGCATGCAATGCCCATAGAGGTCAGAAGAGGGCACTGGATCTCCTGGAACTAGAGTTATGGACAGTTTGCCGACATATATATGGTGCTGGGAACCAAACCCAGGACCTCTACAGGAGCAGTTGGTGTTCTTAACCACTGAGCTCCAGTTTTTCAAATGCTGCTTTCCTAGTCTTTCTGGTCAAGGTTGTGTTCACATCTTACACAGATTTTACTCAGAAAAGACTAAGAAGGATCTTTTTTTAAAGATCCTATTTTAAAGCAGATAGGCCTGATGTTTGCAGCTAACTAATCTATTTTAACATCTGCCATCCCTTATAAATCTTACACCAGGGTAAGAATTACTCACAGGGATATGGGAGATAGCTCAGTATATAAAAGCATTTACTTTGTAAGCCTGACAGCCTGAGTTTGATCTCCAGCGCCCATATAAAACAAGACTCATGGTGCACATCTGAATTCCAAAACTCCTGTGGTAAGATGGGAGGTGGAGGCAGACACAGGAGAATCAGCCAGAAACCCACGTGTGTAGTGCAACAGCAGAAATAAGAGAGACCCTGACTCAACAAGGTGGAGGGAGAGAGTACCTGAAAGTTGACCTCTGACCTCCACACATGTGATAGTACACACATGCACAATAATAGTAAATAAATGTTAAACACTTTTTTTTTTTTTTTTTTTTTTTTTTTTTTTAAGATATGGTCTCCCTGTTGTCCCACCTGGCCTGGAACTCACTGTGTAGACCAGGCTGGCTTCCCAGCATCCACATGGTAGCTCATAATTGTCCGTAGCTCCAGTTCCAGGGGAATCCAATACCCTCTTCTGACCTCCGTAGGTATTGCAGACATGGGTACACTTACACACATACAGACAATGCACTCATACACATAAAATAAAAATAATAAATAAAATTTTTGGGGTCTTTTTGAGACAGGGTCTCCCTGTAGCCCCATCTGGCCTAGGACTCGGAGAGATCCTCCTGCCTCTGCCCCAGGTGCTAGGATTAAAGGCATGTGCTACGATGCCTGGCTAATAAAATAATTCTTTAAAAAAGAGTGGATGTGTGTGGATGTGTGTGCATGCAAATGTAGATGGCTCATGCCACAGCACATGTGTCTTCTGCAAGAGCAGCCAGTTCTTTTTTTTTCTTTCCTTCCTTCTTTTTTTTTGAAACAGGGTCTCCCTATAGCCCCAGTTGGCCTAGAAGTTACTATGTAGACCAGGCTGGCCTTGAACTCAAGATCTGCCTGCCTCTGCCTAAAATCGTGGACCACCGGCACAACTGAGCAGCTAGTTCTTTTAACCACTGAGCCATCTCTCTAGCCCCCTGTTCTCTTTCTTAAAAAAAAAAAAAAAAAGATAGTGTTTCAAAAGAGACAATTAAAAAAAAAAGGTAGTGAGTGATGAAAGACTATATCCTTGGACTAGAGAGATGGCTATGGGTTCAGATCCTGTACTGTTTATATAAAGGGCCTGATTCAGCTCCCAGCTTACAGCTGCCCACAACTCAGCACCAGACAACCCAACGCTCTTCTGGACTCCATTAGCGCTGAACTCACACGTGTACACACACACACACACACACACACACACACACACGCGCGCGCGCGCGCGCACACACGCACACATGCATACACACGCACCCCACCCAAAAGGAAAAAAAGAAAAGACACCTGACATTGAGCTTTCATGTCCACAGTCTTGAACTGGTACATGCACCCCCACCCACTTATCACACACACACACACACAGGAAAAAAAATAGAAGAAAAGTGAACAAACAAAATTCATTGAGACTAGACATGGTGATGGTGGGATCAGGAGAATTGAAAGTTGGAGGCCAACTGGTTTACATAGAAAGGCCTTGTCTCAAAGACCCAAGCATTAGGATGTAGCTTAGGGGTTGAGTGCTTGCTAGTGTGCACAAGGCCTTGGGTTCTATCTCTAGCACCACAAAAATAGAATAGAAAAGGAAAGGACTTGTTGAAATCAAACAAGAATTCAGTCCATAAACCAATAAACCAGGCTTCGAATCACACTGGGTGTAGGGCATGGGGTATTGATGAATGGGCAGTGGAATCCCGAATTCAGGGTGCCTAGCAGGCAAAGCTAACATGTGTCTTCCATGGAGTGTTTGGAGCCTAAGGGAATCTGTGTTGTCCCTTGGTCAGCTTTGGCAGTGGGGACCTCAGCTTTGCCCTTTGTGGTAATATTATGGGGAGGACAGCAAGTACACAGGTGAGGCTCCTGGCCCTGGTAGGTGTTCAGGCCTGGCTGCGGTCCCTGCTCCCAGCTGCACCAAGGTTGTGCTTGTTGCCTGCTCTGGGGAACCCTGCAGGGTTTCCTAGCTGGTTCTTCCCAAGATAGAGGAAGAGAGGCTCCACCTACTTTGGGTTGGGCCCAGAGGAAATGGGCAGCAGGTGTGGCCTTAGAGGGGCCACTGGGATTGGCTGTGGACATTGGTTTCTTTTCTACTATTACCTAGACACATAGCGACTCCCTGTTCCGGTTTGTGGGAGACAGGAAGTCAGACTCCTCCAGAGGATCTCAAGGGGCTGCAGGAACTGACTTTCTTCAGGAGTAGGGCACCAGGACCCAGGGTCTCGGCCTTGGAACAGTGTCTCTTCTGACCAAAAGGGCAGCAGCCAGGGGTAGGTGTGTTCGGTGTAGGCTGTAGGCCAGCTGGAGGCTGCATGATCTTGCTTTCCTCTTCTCTCCTGAGTGGGAGTGGGACTGGGGACTGGGCTACAAGAAAGGATTAGATTGACAGCCTTCAAAGCTTGAGTCCCTGACATGTAGGAAGTTGAACTCTAACTCTGCATCATTGTGCAATCACAGCAGCTTCTTGTAGGCCATGTATGTGGGGTTTTAGGGAGTCATGTAGTCCCAAGCTTCCCTGCCTTTGTTACCTGGGGCAGGTCTCTTTACTTTCCAAGCCTACATTCCTTAACTGTAAAGAGAACAGAGTTCTGCCTTTTTAGGTTACTAGGAGCTTAACTGTGACTATGTATGTAAATGCCTGTCACTATGCTTGTCACTAGCAGATGGTAATCAGTGTCCTGCTGCCACTTCTTTTGTGATTATTACCCCTGAGGTTCCAGGGATCAAGCAGGTTACCAGGGAGCTGAGAGTGAACAAGCGGTGAGCACTGCAGGAATGAGGGTGTGGCATCCGGGCCTGGACTCCATTGCTTGAGCCTCAGGGCTGTAGAGGGATAAGACAGGAAGGCAGTATTCCACTCCTGCCCTCTAGCCATTCCCTCTTGTCTAGAGTTTGGGTCCCCTGTTGGCCGCTGTGAGCCGGGTAATGGAAGCTAGAAGCTGAAGACCGATTTGGCTCCCTTGGCTGCTGTTAAAAGCAGAGTCGTGGGGCCCTGGAGCTTCTGGGGCTGGGCTGTTTGCCAGGCTTCAGCAGAAACAGCCAGTGAGCAGTCTTGCCCCCAGCTTGTTGAGGGGGTGGGGACCACTGAGCTGGCTTCAGTCCAGTCCCCAGTCTCCCTTACATACCTGACCCATAGCCTGGAGCCTAGAAGGAGCTTAGAGCTTGGGGCTCAGGTCTGCTTCTACCTGGCCAGAGGTTAGGTATGCCTCAGGGCCTCTTCCTGTCTGCAAGGGAAAGCTTGACCTCTTAGAAGTTCAGTGAGGGCCTGGCTCTGCAGGGCTCCTCCTCCCTGTGATGTGACAAGACATGGGGCCCCTCCCGCTGGGTTCTCCCAGTTGCCCTGCAGAATCAGAGTTCCAGGCAGGCATTTCTCGCTTGTACCAGCCAGCGGCACAGCCCTGCAAAGGAGAAACACAGAGTCAGGTACCTGAACTCTGAGGGAGGAGAGCCTGGAAGAACAGTCTGGAGTGAGCCTCCAGAGCACCTTCTATTTGGGCCAGGCACAGGATAGCAGCTGGAAGCTGCCTCTTCGCCAGGCTGGGCCGGCAACGTCCTGTCCTGAGGCAGGTCGTTTCTCCCTTGGGTGGGGCAGGTGCCTGCCAGACATTAGCTCTTGAAGTTCAGAAGGGCAGGACACTGCCCCTGGAGGGTTCCAGGAGGCTTGGCTCTCACCTCCTCTTCTTTGCAGACGCCCTGTTGGCAGACTTGGAATCTACCACCTCCCACATCTCCAAACGTCCCGTGTTCTTATCCGAGGAGCCTCCTTACTCCTACCCAACTGGAAACCACACCTACCAGGAGATTGCAGTGCCACCCCCCGTCCCACCACCTCCATCCAGCGAGGCCCTCAATGGCACAATCTTTGACTCCTTAGACCAGTGGCAGCCCAGTGGCTCCCGATACACCCACCAGCAGGTAAGGTGTGGATGGGGCCTGAGAAACCTTCAGAGATGTGAGGGCAAAGGGAGCTAATCTGCCAAGGACTTGGCAAACCAATGGAGACATGGGGCTGGGGGAATGGACTGGGGCCCTAGACTGTCCCCAACCAGACACTGCCCTTCCCACCCACAATGTGAGGGAGCCAGTGACCAAGTATTAATCACCTGACCAGACTGGAAATTCCCTGGTGAGACTGTGAGTAGGAACCACCTGGGGGTGACTTGGACTGCTCCTGTCTCCCTTTCTTTTCTCTCCATTGGGAGAGTTCTCTGAGTTCTCTTCTTCCTGCAGCCTCCATCCCCATTGCCCACATACGGCTCCAGTGCCAAAACTTCTGGTACCTCCAACACCCAGGACGGCATTGGCTCTCTGTGCCCCCAAGCAGGCGAGGAGGAGCACGTCTACAGGTACAGACCCAGCACCCCACGATTCCACCCTCTTGCTGGGAAGCTCTAGGGCCATTGTTTTAACCACAGAAGGCCCTGAACTGCCTTTCCAGCTCCTGTCCTTGTCAACCACCTTTCATTTCCATCTCCATATAGCAGATGGGCTGGGCTGTTCTGTCACAGCATCTCCATGTAGTTGCAGAACTGAAGCAAGACTTCCTTCCTCCTCTCTTCACCACATCCCTTCCCTCCCCTCTGCCTTCTTGCTGAGGAAAGTTTTTAACACTCCACCCTTGAGAGTACCTTGAGAATTTGGGACTTGCCAAGCCCAGTGCAAGGTTGAGGTCTCACTTCTGTCCTTTGGGTCTCAAAGCTTTCCCAATAAGCAGAAATCAGCTGAGCCTTCACCTACCGTAATGAGCTCCTCTCTGGGCAGCAACCTCTCTGAACTCGACCGTCTGTTACTAGAACTGAATGCCGTGCAGCATAATCCTTCGGGCTTCCCTGCAGGTAGGATTTAAAGTCCCCGGGCTACCTACTGGCCTTAGGATTCCTGGAAGTCTCAAGGGATGAAAAGCTTTTTTCTCTCCTTTTCTCCAAGATGAGACCAACTCAAGCCCTCCACTACCTGGTGCCTTGAGCCCCCATTATGGCATCCCAGAGAATAACAGCCCTCTGAGGGGCAAAGCTGGGCCCCTGACGAAAGAGAAGCCAAAGCGAAATGGGAGCCGGGGCCTGGAGGATGTGAGGCCCAGTGTGGAGAGCCTCTTGGATGAACTGGAGAGTTCTGTGCCCAGCCCTGTGTGAGTATCCACTGGGCTCTTCCCCAGACTGGGGAATATTTTGTCTAGCCAGGCTCCAGGCTGTAGTATATGTCACATAGCCCTAGGGTCACCTATTCTCTTAAGTGTCTGTTGTTGGCCAGGCTCTGAGCCATGTGGATACTATCCCTGCCACCGTCAGCCACCATCAATCAGAAAAGTCAAGCATCTTGCATGTAGGGGCCATCTGTGGCTCAGTAAGTGTTGTTAGCACAGGCTTTGTAGCCTTACCATGGGTTCAAATCATGGTTGTGCCAGTTACTGCATCTAGCTCTTAAGTCCTAGTTTTCTGTCTATAAATTGGGATAAGCCAAAGCTGGGCATGTTGACACACACTTATAATCTCAGCATTTGGGATGTTGAGGTTTGAGTATCTCAAATTCAAGGCCAATCTGGGTATGTAGTTCCAGGACAGACCAGGCTACACAGTGAGACCATGTGTCAAAAATAAAAAACAAACTTTAAAAGAGGATAAGAGGACAAGGATCCTGGGGATAAGAACACATATGTAGAGCAAGGTGAGAATAAATGATCTGTGTCTAGCAATTGGGAAGGTCTGGCTCTGGTACTCACCAGAAGTACATAATAACATTAGCACTAGTTTGTTTGTTTTGAGGTACTTACTCTATAGTGCAGTCTGTCCTAGAACTCACCATGTAGCCCAGGCTGGCCTCAGACTTACAGTTATCCTCCTGCCTTAGCCTCCTGCATGCTGGGATTACACATGTGAGCCATGCCTGCCTGGCTTAATGTTGGCTCTTATTGGCGTCTCCATGTGTAATCTCACATTTGTGTACAGCGTTGTAGGGGATGTGTGATGGTACTAGGTATGTTTAACAGGTGAGCTTACCCCTGGCCTGGGGCATAGGTATCTTCTTGGAAAGGGTGCTGTTTGAGTCACCCTGTCTTCTCCCTGGTCAGCTTACCTGAGCATTAGCTCCTGGCTGATTGCCCCCTACCAGGGATGGTCCCCAAGGTGATGGGTACTGGTGACCTAGGGACTCAGAGGTATAAGACTTTAGTGGCATCCAGAGCTGGTATTGACCCAATCCCCTGTGAAGCTTCGGGCTGGCTTTTGTCTCTCCATTGACCCCATGCCTGCTCCACAGCCCCGCCATCACTGTGAACCAGGGTGAGATGAGCAGTCCACAGCGAGTCACCTCCAGCCAGCAGCAGACGCGTATCTCGGCCTCTTCTGCCACCAGGGAGCTGGACGAGCTCATGGCTTCACTGTCAGATTTTAAGGTGCCCTTCTACCCTTGTCTTTCTTACCTCTGTGTGAGTGGCTGGTCCCTGGCTCCTCAGTGTTCAGATACTTTACCTCAAGGCAGGGGCTCTGCAGGGCCTCTTGCCAGCACAACAAGGGAGAAAGGCCACATAGTCTGTGGAGACTGAGTTGCTCAGCAGCCAGTGAAGGCAGAGAAACTAGAGCAGCTTTCAGCTGGGACATTCCTTCCTCTCCTGGCTCTCCCAGCCACCCAGGTCAAAGAGATCAGGAGGCTGGGACACAGGGACAAAGAGCCCTGTGTTGATAGCTGCTCTTGGAGGGGGAGGGTGTGTTCTTCTGGCCCCTGTGGGATTCAGGATCCCGTGCCTGAGAGGTCACTTACCCTAGAACCATATCTCCCACGCTAGCTGTCCTCAACACACCCTCTTTCTTTCTGCCTGTAGTGATAGGATTTACAGGCCTCCCTGCCAGTCTCTTTCCATCCTTCCCCTTCTGCTTCAAGAGCCTGGATGCTGGCCTGTTCCCACAAACCCTGTCTATAGGAAACCTAACCTGCCAAGCCCTTGGCTGGACAGCACGACGTGCCCCACCCTCCCCTTCCAGTCTCCCCAGGCCTGCCAGTCTACAATGTTTTATTTAGAAGGATGCATGCCTTGATGGGGATTAACTGACAGACTTCTCTAGTAGTTGCTGACTTTAGCTCCTAATGGGTCAGCCAGAGACCTTTGGGGCACAACTTAGGGAATATAAGAAAGGAGCCAGGTGGTCTGTGTATTCTTGGCCCAGAAGGTGCCTCTTGCTCATGGCTGGAGCCCACTTGGAGGAAGGAATGTGCCTAGGGATAGAGGATTGAATCTGGGCTTCTGAGCCTTGTTGCCATGGTTCTGAGCAGCCAATTAGAGGCATGTCAGGATCCAGGCATTGACCTGCCCTGGTGCCCTTCCTCTGAGTTGCTGCTGCTTTCTGGGACAGCCAGTAACCCAGTACCACATGAGGAAAAGCTGCACTGCTCCTTGCTGAGCCCCCAGAGCAAGGACTTGAGGACAAAGGGAAGTTGGAATGGTTTGGTAGGGATGGAGAGTGGAGCTGCTGCTTGAGGAAGGCTGAGCAGCTGCCTGTGGCTAACTCCACTGGGCTGTGCCCAGAGCTGATGTCCCTGTTTACTGTCTCCCTGTATGTACCCTACTTTAGTCTCCTTGGTACTCACTCTTGGTGATGTCATAGGTATGGCCTTGTGGCCACTTTCTGGTTTTGTTTGGTTGTTTGTTTGAGACAGGATCTCACTATGTAGCCCTGGATAGCCTGGAGATTGTTATGTAGACCAGACTGGCATCACATCTACCTGTCCCTGCCTCCCAAGTGCTGGGATCAAAGGTGTATACCGCCATGCCCAGCTTTTAAATTAAATTAAATTAAATTTAGTATGTGGCTGCTTTCTGTTGCCTGGGTTTCATAAGGTCCAAGGACCTGAGGCTCAGGCAGGCATTCCTGGGGTCTGAGTCTTTTTCCATTGACTTGTGCTTTAGCATTGCATCCACTGTGTCAGTGTAGATGGTGACTCTGAACTCTCAGGCCAAGCCCACCTGTTGCCTGAGTATCCTTCCTCACCTCTCCCTGTTTTTCTCTCTCTTCTCCCCTCTCCTTTTGTCTTTTTCCTCCAGACCAGCTCCTCAGCTGTGGTGCTGCCACCCAGCTCAGCTCCATCTCCACCCTGTGCCCTTCCTCATCCTCTTCCTCCTTCTCCCATGCCTTCTGCAGTTTTGCCTTCCACCATAAAATCCTCCCCTGGAGGCCAAGGCCACATTCCAGAGGCTCTTTACACTGAAGGACATAGTCAGGTCCTCCTACCTCCTATGGGCCCCAGCTGGCTTGATTTGGCCGGCCTAGAGGTAACTTCTGATACCCACAACTCAAAAGAGTGTCCTTCCGTGGAGGGGTTTCTGGGACTGGTTGGTGCCAAGAACCAGGCCCAAGTTAGGAGGAACCTGATGGACTCCATGAGTGAGCCCTCTCGGATTCCCTTCTCTTGTACTCTACACCTTGCTGGGAGCACAAGATCCCAGGAGCCTGAAAACTCCCAGGGGCCACTAGTTAAGCCTGTATGTCCAGAGGAGACTGTGGCTGCCATCCAGAGATGGCCGCAGGCTTTGACAGCATCCAGTCCTGGAACTTCTTACAACTTTCAGGAAGTAACTGAGCCAGATATTGTGGCAGTAGACCGTCAGGCTGTCTTTCCAGACACCTGGAGTCTCACAAAGAAAACTGGCCATTGGGAGAGGGCACAGGCAAAGCAAGGAGGCCTGGAAAGCAGTTGCCCTGTCCCAGCTGACAAGGAGCAGTTAAGTGGAAATATTCTTTGGAAGAGAAGCCTGGGGGTACCAACCCAGGGACCTGAGACCTCAAGGAACCGAGAAAATGCCACCGAAGTTGTTCTCGAGGCCAGGAAGGAACAGCCAGAGCTTCCACATGCCAAGGTCACGGGCACATCCAACGCTTCGGAGAGGATATCCACCTCTGGCCAGGCAGGCACCAGCTCACTAGGCATGACCCTGGAGGGTCTTGAGTGTCAGCCACTCCTTGCTAACTGCATGCAACCTCCCGTGCATGTCTGCCTGAGCAGAAAGGGTCAAGTAGCCATGGCCCTGAGGATGAACACTTGACGGAGGGTGCTGTGGGGCCAGCAGAGCTTCTTGGACCCTGATGACTGATAGTGATGACCCACCTCTTACTTGCTTAAGACTTCCCTTTAGATGAGCTTCCCTGGATGTTCTAATGTACAGAATGGTTAAAAGCGTGGACTTGGGACTCACATAGGCCTACAAACCACCCTGCCAACGACTTGTTGCCTATGTGACCTTCAGTAAACCACCCAGGCTTAGTTTTCTCCTCTTTAGAATGAGAGTAATAAAAAATAAAAAAGCTGGACATGGTGGCACACGCCTTTTATCCAAGCACTCAGGAGGCAGAGGCAGGTGGATCTCTGTGAGTTCAAGGCCAGCCTGGTCTACATAGTGAGTTCCAGGCCAGCTGGGGCTACAGGGAGACCCTGTCTCAAAAAGACCAAAAATAAAAACAAACAAACAAAAAAAAATGGGAGTAATAATAGACCCATTTTCCAAAGTTGTCCGGAGGATTAGATGAGATAATTCCTGGACAGCACGTTTCCTCAGCAAGTTGGCTGACATGACCAACCTCCCTCCCTCCTTCCTTCCCTCCTTCCCTCTCTCTCTCCCTCCTTCCCTTCCTCCCTTCCTCCTTCCCTCCCTCCCTCCTCTCTCTCACTAGAGTCTCACTAGCCCCAGACTGGCCTGGAGCTCTTGGCTATCCTCCTCCCTCAGCCTCCTGAGTGCTGTGATTATAGGTCCGTGCCACTGTGCCTGGCTCTTACTTGTTTCTTCTATGATTCAGACTTTATGCTTTTCCCCCAAACAACCCCCAACCAAACACTGCAACAAAGTAAGCTATAATATAAATAAG